TGCTACCGCAACAAACACCTTGCTCTATCTGTGGATATTGCAGCTTCGCAGTCAAATAGTGTTGGGTAGGGTGAAATATGCTCTAGTGAAACATATCCAAATTTGCGCGATTTGGTCTACTAAGAAAAAAGTTTTGAACGAAAAACTTCACCGTAGACTTTTGAGCGGTACTGTACATGCAAAATACGTGACACGCTCTTAACCAGGGATCCCTTGTAAGCCGCAGCCTATGAAGGATGAGACTCACCTTGTTCTATTTTTTTAAATTTGTTACATATACATGCCTCCAAGGGAAGAAGGGCATATAAATGACTATTCGAAAAACCGTGCTCCGAGGAAAGGATCTAACTAAAAATAGTAGGTGGGCAATTAGCGAGGGCCTAAAGATCTGCCGTTTGAGAGCCCCCACGACCTCCTTGCTCTTGGAAGATGTTTCATTGACATGCTTTAAACTCCTATAGTCACTGCAATTAGCGGCACCCACTTTCTCAACACTTAATTCAAATCGAACCGTCTCGTCGCAATCCGATCGCCTGCAGACTAACCCCTGTCAGCACGGCCGTGGCACGTGCCAACAGAGGTCCCACAGCGAATCTCTGCAAAAGTTGGCAAATTGCCACGGACGGGCATGTACCTTTTGTTGCGTTCGGTAACTGTGATACTGGTTCGAGTAACGGGGTGGGGTGTATGTCGTTTGGCGCGGCCCCTCGCACTCACCTTGCCACTGGGGCGCATGGGCTCGTTAATTGCCTCTTTGGCGCCGCCCATTCGACTCGATTTGTGAGCTGGGCAACTCGCCCACCTGATTCAACCTCCTGACAATGCTAGTCAGCCTACCCACTGCCCATCCAGCTGATAGACGCCCGATCGATAACGCCGCTATGACTAGACGCCGAATTGACCTAACTGTATCCTGTCTAATGCTACCGCAAATTTGGCTATTTTTTCTCTATTTTTTTGCTTCTCGAAATTTTTGAAACTAATTTCAAGCGAATACTGCTAAGTTGCAATGGAGTGGAAGTACCATAGTCGTTTTGGAGCCTGATACTTATCACTTCAAAGTAATTTGCGGTACATATGTTTGCTGGACTGATAGTGTGGTGAGTCTTTTATTGTTTTTTTCTTTGAAAAACATTTGTTTGGCATAATACTTATGTCTATCGTTAACTTCATTGAAATGCAGATTATCGAGTGGTAAGTGTTTCGGAACTTCAAACATGATTTCCATTTCTTCCTTCTTCACAACATTTGTTATGTTAAATTTTTTCTAAGCGTCCCTATTATTGTATAGCATTGCTAGCATTAAGTTTACTACGAGGTGTGATTGTTCCTTATTTCTTTGCTGTGTGAGTGGTAAGTGCAGCGATAGAGCCCCATTAGAAGCACTACGAAAAGCAGAAGAGAATTTTGTTCATTTCTTGCTATTAGATTACTACCGCTTCCCAACAAGATCTGTAACGATGAAGGATCCTCTTTGGTCGATATCATTTGCGACAAAAGTTAACCAACCGCCAGCAATTTTGAATTCCCAACTAATGATATCTTCGTGGAGAACAAGGTCCCCTGATGACGGCATATGATAATGGTGTTATCATCACTGGGAACATTTGTGAGCACAGCCCAAGGCATTGGTTGCCTAATAGTTGAGTCTTGATAGGGTGTTCACTTTCAAAAACGAGAGCAAAAGATCGAGACTTCCAAAAGAAGGCGTAAGCACCGACATACATTGAATACCATTTGCTCTGCTCTGTTAATCCTGTGTCAAACTTCGTGTACAGAAAAATATTATTTCTTCAAAGAAGTGAAGAGTTAGCCGATTACTAAAACTTTGTCAAAGGAGGGCGTGTTGTAAATATATGTCGAGATATGTATCCGGAAAGACTAATAATGTGCATGATAATAAAGTAAATGATGGAAATAAATATTATGATAAAAAATGTTTTTCAAAGAAGAAATAATAAAACATTACCACACAATATATGTACCTGCAAATTACTTTGAAGTGGTAAGTATCAGGCTCCAAAACGACCATGGTACTTCCACTCCATTGCAACTTAGCAGTATTCGCTTGAAAATGGGTTCAAAAATTTCGAGAAGCAAAAAAAGTGAGAAAAAATAGCCAAATTTGGGACGGGATACAGGTAGGTCAATTCGGCGTCTAGTCATAGCGGCGTTATCGATCGGGCGTCTATCAGCTGGATGGGCAGTGGGTAGGCTGACTAGCATTGTCAGGAGGTTGAATCAGGTGGACGAGTTGCCCAGCTCACAAACCGAGTCGAATGGGCGGCGCCAATGAGGCAATTAACGAGCCCATGCGCCCCAATGGCAAGGTGGGTGCGAGGGGCAGCGCCAAACGACCGCCTCCCGAGTAACGTCCTCCACTGAAGATATTGGCCATGCGGCCCTCCAAGCCACCCAATGTTCTGATAACGGTTAACTGTAGGCACCTCAGAGTTACAGACTAAGATAAGCTTGATTTTAATGCTGGCATGAGCACTGGCTCATGGATGCGCTTGCTTGAATCTTCCCTTCACGGAAGTGGTACAGTTGGATCGGTAGGTGCCAACTTCTGTGGTGGGAGACCTGATTAATCAAGAGTATATTCAAGGTGAGAGGGGACATTTCTAGTGTCACTCACAAGAAATCTTCAAGAGAAACTTTCTTTTAGTATGAAATTTTCTTTGTGTTCATAATATTTCCCGTGTATAAAATGCGGCTCAATTTTTTCCTCATTTCAAGCCTTACTACTCAGATTGTACTCTGAGAATGCTCCTGCCCTCACTCATCGTGTATAATACCACCAAAATTCATGCTTCGTATATTTCCAATTAGCCATACTTTCATCAAATTGATAGCTGCGGAGAGCAGTACAAAAGGACTGAAATGGTGAATGACCCTGACCGATCCAACTGCCGGTCTCCCTCTCCCTTAAACTAATCAAATAAGATTGGTGAACTTACATTTTGCTGGCTTACTCTGGATTACCACGGCGCGCAGCACTAACGTGATGCTACTTATTTACACACCGGTAGCAGTCCGCACTTGCGTACAAATGGCAACTACCGCAACTGTACGCTTACTTTTATTCGACTTTGAAGACTGATTGTTGTGTTGATTTCATGTGTTTGAGTGTTTTGTGTTTGTTTGTTTGTCATTTGTTTTAGTTGATCAGCTCAACTCTTCAATTGCAATTCAATTTGAGCTAACTGTTCTAAAATAAGGTCTGGTTACCTATACCTGCAGCATGTAGCCCTCGGTCGGAAACTGCTACCGCTGCACTGCTCTGCAGCTGTAAAGCTAGCACCAAAACCGTAAATCAGGGTTACGGTTCTGGTTCTTTGGTTTTAGTTGACTTTGGTTCACTTCAATTTGATCACTTCTCAACTGCGCGTTAAAAAGTATGCACATTGACTTTAAACCACTTCGCACCTCCGCCATCTGGTTGACGGTTGTCTCAGCTGAACTAATATGGCTTGTATGACTTAGTAAAATTCGTTGCATTTGAAATTAGGAAGAAGAGAAGGAAGAGGAAAAAAATTTTTAGGCCAGCCACTGTCAAAGTCAAAATCGCTGGTCGAACTCCGAAATATATTTGATTCCAATACATACTAGCACACATACAAGTTACCTCATGATATGACATATGCACTATTATAAACTTGTTCGTTGGCTATACAGGAAAAAATGGGCACGACATTTTTCTGCTCTACTCTCACGTACTTTAACGATTAGCCATTGGGTGGAAGTTAAGTTGGGGTGGAGGTTGGCACTCTTAACAGCGCTAGTATAGCAAGGATTGGGCATCGTTCATCTGTGCGGTGTCATACGGTTTTAGCCAGGGGATGCAGTTTTTAACCAAGCATCAGGAGGCTAGGAGCACCGTAGTGGGTGAGATGATTACCTCATGCGAAAAGCTGAAAACTTGCCCACCTCGATGATCCTTCCCTCCTAAGCCTTATTTAAAAAATTGCATGTCCGTGATGTAATACTGTATAACACGTAACCTTCTGTTAATTCCTTGACATTCTAACACTGTTATGTGTACCCCTCCCCGTTTATCACTGAACCGCACTGGCTTTGAAATAACAAGTGAAGTCAGAATGCAGTATTCAATGACAATCCGGCCACGCAGCGCATTTTTCACCTATTATAGCCCTAACTTAGGGCGTTACGCTAGCTTTACGGCTGCAGAACAAAACAGTGGTAGTGGGTCCAAGGTTACATGTTTGTATATATAGGTAGCCAGCGTTCTTTTAGAACAGTCAGGTTAAATGGAATTGAAGAGTTGTGCTGTTCATCTGAAGTAAGTCCTCAGACTCATGAAATCAACACAGCAATACTCCCCAAAATTGAATAAAAGAAGCGGAGGGCTACGGTAGTTGCTGTTAGTACGCAAGTGCAGACTGCTACCTGTGTGTAAATAAGTAGCACGCACTAACGTTTGAAATCAATGAGGGGTTACGGTCGTGGCATCGCACCAGCAGAGGTCCCACAGCGAATGCCAGCAAAAGTCGGCAAAATGCCACGCACGGGACCTGATTGGCTTCGCATTCGACTGCTGTTAGCGTTTATAAGAGTGAAAAGCTTGGGAACATCAACAAACTCCTAAGCGAGTCAACCTCATAACACCATCAACAAAACACGTCAAAAACATTCGAAATAATAGCTCATGCTATTATTTCTTAATACGCCCAGGACCAGGATTAAGTCTTATGGAGTAATACTGAAGCAAACAGTCGTGAAACATGTCAAATCGTAGAGGGTCTACAATTTTTGAAAACGGGCCAAGGGCCGTCGCACGTGACACGCGACGTAGGCTTCCCTATATTTTTAGAGATGCGATCGTTAACGGCATCACCGCGCCGCATACCTTCTTTACTGCTGCTCGCACCCAAGCAATCAATACTGTAATTGAACGAAGAGAAGGGACTGTTCGTCAAAGATTGGTAATCCCGAAAATTGTACACTCCCGACAAATCGCGGAATAAATACGAATCATCTCACTTGCAACCGTTGGGGCCGAACTCGAAAAATCCATCCATACACTGATCACAATACCGCCCAGCAACACCTGGTTTGCAATGACACTGACCCGTGTTATCACATTGCAGCGATAGTGACCCAACCTGAAAATCGACCAAATCAATTGTTTTTTCATCACAAAAGTGAAGAGTCAGCCAGTTACCTCATTACAACCGCAGCTCACGCAATAGTTGTCACCAGGACGCCGCCAGTGATTGGAAGCGCAGTTTTCGCAGTGCACTCCCTGGAACAATTTTTCGTTTATAGTAATTTCACGATTTGGAATAAGACTGTAAGGGATACTAACGTGTGTATTTCCTTGGCAATCAATACAGTGTCCTCCATGACCACTTCTTTCAAATAAGTCTTGATCAAAGAAGCAACGATTGGACAGTTGGGAGCAGTTGCAAGCTGAACGTGAGTGGAAATTAGTAAAAACCGAAACAATAATGTGACTTCATCCCGTGCACTCAACAACGAATTAGAACCGATTCAAGATCATGCTATTCGACTTTGTGTTGTTAGCGATACTCCCGACCAACCGACAGCGCGCAGTGATTCCTAGTTAGTTGCCCTGCGCGGTGCAAAGGTGTTGAATGGGAGTGGGCAAAATCGAGCGCCAGAGCGCAAACAAGGAGGGGTGGCTGACTTGACTTATGCTTGAAGACGGTGTATAGTGAAGGGATATTGTTTTAACCTAAGCTTTAGTGGGAGAGAGGCACCGGGGTGGGTGCGATTATTACTTCGCGCAAAAAGCTGGGATTTGGTAAGAACTGAACAAACAACTGACTCACTCACCCCGATGCTAATTCCCTTCCAAGGCTTAGGTCAAAAAAACTATTAAAAGAAAAAAATCAATGTGAAACATTTTAAAAAACTATATTTTCTTGGCAAAGGAACGTTCCTAAGCACTATTATGAGCCGCAACTCGGCAACCCCGGTGCTACTTATTTCCACTTATCACAACAGGGGTTGCAGGGCCGTTGCAACCGCGTGTGTACCGACTCAGCATTTTTTTCGTTTTCTCTGCGTCTCGATTAATAGGCATCTCACCACGAAGAGGATAGAGGGCAGACGCAAGAGCTAGCTAGCTACCATTGCCTCCTATTACTAGTGATACAATAGGACAACTAGCAACACTGTCGGGTTAAGATAGTATCAATGATGTTGCAGATCTTCGAACGATATTGTTTGTTTCAGCGTTGATTCCCATGAAAACGAAGTAGCAAAAAGATTGCAAGCTTGGGTTTTCTGCAATGCCACATAGATTTTTCCTGGTGTAAATGTTCGATGCATTCGTTTTATTTGTATTTGAACAAAGATCAGGTTCTTTCTTCTCTCAGGGTATCGGAACACCTCAACGAGCAACTACCCTCGCCGAGTTGCTACATATTACTACACATCCTTCATTCTCCGCATCTTCTATCCGTTTGTCTGTTTGAAATACGAAGTTTTCTTAGTTGGAAGATGTCTATCCTTCTGAAAATTCTTCGACTCTTGGACCCATTCGAATGTCTACTACTGACGAGAGAGCGCTCTGAAGGAGAGTACGGACAACGAGCGGACACGCTCCTCCCGCTTCTGAACAAGACACGCAGAGACTGCTTCGCCATCTGATTCTCTCAGCGAGAAAAATTCTGGTTGACAACAGCCCTGCAACCGTGACTCAGCGTTTTTATCTTTTTCTCTGCTCCCTCTTCAGGAGGCATCTCACTTGCAGGAGGATAGAGCGCAGACGGAAAAGCTGGCCATCCCTGGCTGCTTTCATGGTGTGCCGAATGGCCCGCGAGCGCGCCAGCCTGGGGCGACGCTTGCCCCTTGTTTACAACTGAATCTTGACCGATACCGCAGGTCTAGTAGTCCCTCGGCCGGCGGATCATGAAAGCAGCCCCTCATTGCTTACAACCGCAATACAAACTGTTTTTCAGATTGATTCATTGTTGGTGTAGGCGTTTAAATGATGTTGTTCTCATGGTTTACTAACATGAAGAATAAGCTTACAATACCGAAAAAGCCCGCTTTTGCTGCAATACCACACAGTTATTTTAGCAATGTCAGGATTCCATGCAGGTGTTTTGTAGATACTGCAACAAAATAAGGCCTTCACATTTTTTAGGGCATAAACTGACCAGCCACTAACACGCCTTGGCGAACTGCCCATCACACCTATCCCTCACTTCCCACTCCTATATATCCAAATATCAATTCAAATGGTCCTCCTTGCTAATCCATGCTCGGCTCGTGTACCCGTTCATATGTCCATTCCTGAAGATTAGATGAATTTTAACGTCCCGTGAACGTATGATTCATTTACCTCTGGATCCCCACCATCTAGCCCGTGGGCTTCACCCGGGGTACCTTTCTGTTGCGTCGTATATATGACGGGTGTTTGGAGACACCCGAGTGTGTGTTAGGGTTACTGCGTAACGCATTCATGAGACGATTAAATCCGTCTTGTTTCCTGAAGAACGCTCAGGAGGCGAGTAAAGACAGCGAGCGGAGACGCCCTCCTTCCACTGGAAGAAACGACTCGCAGAAACTGCTTCTTCGTCTGAATCTCTCAGCGGAGAAAACTCGGGTGACAACAGCCCTGTAAAGCTGCTTTCATAGTTCGCCGGCCGGCCCGCGAGCGAGCGAGCGAGGCACTTGTCCCTTGTTTACAACTGAATCTTGGTCGATACCGCCGGCCAAGTAGCCCTCCGGCCGGCGCGCTCGCGGGCCGGCCGGCGGACTATGAAAGCAGCCATACGCGGTTAACAACGGTCCTGTAACCTCACACCGATGGCAGTCTGCAATTCGTTCTAACGGCGCTACCGCAACCCTACACTTACATTTATCCAGTTTCGTAGACTGACCAGAGTGATTTGAATAAGATTTCATATGAATAATTTCGCTCCCCGGAAGCTTTCTTTTTTCAGCGTTGGTTGTTATTTCATCTTCCATATTGGGTTCTTCTTGCAATCTATACTTTAATCACTTGTCAATTGAAAATGAGTGTATGCACATTTAGTTTAGATCACATTGCACCTCAACCAACTAATTGACTGTTGAGCTGTCGAAACACTCACCTGAACTAATATATGTTCTATCCTACTCATATAATCGGCTAAGTGTGTCTGTTGGTGTGCGTGTGTGTCTGTGCGTGTGTGTGTTCGCTCAGACCCCGCCCACAATGGGCGGAGTCTAAGCGAAAATTCATACCTTCTGTCCCCGTGGACCTAGGACGTTCGAATTTGGTAGGAGTTCTGGGAACAGGATGGGAACACTCACTGTAGGTAGCAGGACCAGACTCCACCAATAGGGGCGGGGATTGCGCGAAAATTGTCAATTTGGCCCTATAGCGTTCAAACTTGGCAGGAGTTCAGGCGACAGGGTGGGAACACGTAGTATAGGTGGCAGGACAGGACATTGCTCACAGGGGCGGGGTTTGCGCGAAAATTGACAATTTGGCCATAGGGCGTTCAAAGTATTCCAATTGCACGAAAATTTCACGAGGTACGCTCCTTGGCCCATCTGTCCTTTTTTTTCTCTGAATAATCGCCTATGTGATATTATAAAATGTTCTTACCGGACACAGCGAAGATGGCTTACAGAAAAATCGCTCCCAACTCGGAGCTAATACTGAGGGTGTAGAGCTTTCAGGGAAAAAGGAGAATCCGAAGAGTTATTTACGCATAGCAAATTTTTTACAGTAAGGAGGACCGCCCGGCGAAGCTGGGCGTCACCATAAGAAGGAGGGAAGCCCGGCGTTAGCCGGGCGACCCGACTGGTGAAATAGAAATTTGGTTCATTCTGAAATATTAGGAAGGAATAAGAAAGAAAAAACATGTGATCATAAATGGGCAACGCTATAATGTTTGAATATAGACGATC